GAGGCTTCCGAAGGGAGCTGGATGCTGCTGGAGGCTGCTGGAGGATTATTCGAGGAGCTAGAGGCTTCCGAAAGGAGCTGGATGCAGCTGGAGGCTGCTGGAGGCTGTTGGAGGCTGCTGGAGACAAATTGAGGCTTCCGAAAGCTGCTGAGGGCAGCTGGAGGTAGCTGGAGGATGATGGGATGGGGCCAGCTAGAGGTTGCTGGAGACTGCTGGAAGTCCCGCCTACTACACGGCCGAGCGTCCCGCTTTGAAGAGTCAAATAAAACTAGCAATCCTTCTGTGTGAGGAAGTTCACCACTACCATATAGTCGGTCTAGTACGGTGAGCAGGCCCCAACGCACGCGCACTCGCACACACACAACACACACACACACACACACACACACACACACACACACACACACACTCACGCACACTCGCGCCCGCATTAACTCGGCGCTAAAGAGGTGAATAGGAGCTCCGCCCGGGGCCAAGGCCAAGGACTCTGACGTGATCCTGCCTTATGTGAGGTTTCTTTCTGTCCGTTTCTCTGTCTGTCTCTCTTTTTCCGTCTCTTTCTCGCTCTCTCTCTCTCTCTTTCCATGTCGGTTGACGTTGGCCTTCGGTATTCGGAGCGCGGGGTTGGGGAGTGTGGCCTGGCCGCGTATCATCTGGAACGCGTCTCGTCTCGTGGGCTCCCGGCGGCTGTAGGCGGATGTAGCGTAACCCTTCCCATATGCCGTTCAAAATTTTTGTTTCGACCTCATGTATTGCCAGATAAATTTTCCGAGGCCCAGCTGTCCAGCGGCTAGAGGCTGGAGCGGTCCCGCACTGGAGTCTGATGGCTGGAGGCTGAGCGGTCTGGAGGCTGGAGGCTGAGCGGTCTAGCGGGTGGAGGATGAGCGGGCCCCGGCGCTGGAGGCTCCAGGCTGGAGGCAGACGGCGGCTGATGTGACTTTGATGTGATTCGCGTGCCGCGGACCATTGAGTCGCTTCCTTTGGAGCGCTCCGCTCGCTCGGCTCCGCGGCCCCTGAGATTGCCCGGCAGGGGGCCGGGGGCGGGGGAGGAGGTGGTGGCCGGGGGCGGCCCGGGCCCCAACCTCTCCGTCCACCGGGTACAAGCAGGAACCTCCCACGCCGACCGGCCATGGAGAAAAAAATGCACACAGCTGAAAGACACCTTCGAATATCTGAGGTCGATCTCTCATTGCTTTCGTCGACGGTCCTTTCCACCCCTTTCTTACTGAAAATCATGTAAGTTCCGATACATTCCAAACCCCATCTCCATGTTGTCGCCCCTCTACCACCGCTAATAGTCGCATTTGTCCGGAATCTCGTTTATCGTGTGTTTATAGTCTGGGAAAGTGTGTGTGGGGGGGGGGGGTTGAACCGGCTGGGCTTGGCTTCGATAAAAGGTGTGCGCTTCGTCGGACCGAAATTTATGTCGTGGGCTTAGCGTATCAACAACAACCAAAAAGACCGGAAGATATTTTTTCCCCGTCGTTTTGTGGGAAGTTAGCGTACGTACCCGACACAGAGGGTGGTGGGGCCGG